TAACTCTGGGAAAGCAAGCCGTCTGGCTGGTGCAGGGATAGGACACGGGCACACAAAAGGGGGCGACGTGAACAAGAAAACCAGTTAGCTCTATTAAACTGAAAGGTTTCCATGATTTAAGTCCTCCTAAGGATGAGATTCAGTGGGATAGATTACACTGATGGGGCTTCCAAACCATTCTTATTTTGAGACATTCTGGCATTTCTGAGTAGTTTCTGTACTCCCATCAATTAATATCCTCCCAGTACATGTGCCAACACTGAAGTGGATCAGTGACACGGGAGCTCCGATTCATGGGATCATTGTGAGGAGGAAGACACATTTTTTTTCTAACCATGTAGCTATTTGGCTACATTCAGGTCCCACTTAACAATATTGCCCAGATTTAAGATAATCCTTAAAGGATTTCTATTCCATTACAAAGTTTTAGTGCAGGATAGATGCAATCCCAATTCCTCTTTTAATAAGGTACAAATGGATCTGGGTGCACACACACCACCATCCTGAGATTCTGGGTAGTTAGAATTAGGTCTTGGTTGGGATACATTCGGACAGGAGGATGCATTTGAAACCTCAGGATGACACTTCTGGTGACTCTGGGGGAGGCAGCTATCTCTGTCTCCTTTTTCAGTCTGATGCAAAACAAAATCCCAGTGTCACTTTAAAGGGACCTTACTGAAGCAGTTAAACTTTCTGGCAGCCACAAGGTATGAGGGCACAGCATTACAAACTAGACTGCTGCCCTGAAAGTCAGTGAAACCCCTACAGCATTTGACCAATGAAAAATACTAGTTGCTTTGAAGTGAAATCAAATGAGAGAGAAAGGTTCTGTTCTTGTTATGGAGATAAGGTTAAAGCTCTGAAAAAAAAACCTATATAGTATCACATATCAGATGTATTATGTTGTAATCGTAACTGCACTTTTTGTTACCTGTTAGAGTTCTCAAGGTGCATTTACAAGTATCTTATTTATACTAGACACAAGTATCGTGTGTACTACGCAGAGAAGTCATGTTACAAGACCTCATTTAATTGTTCTCAGCACCCCAGGAGACAGGCATTCACAGAGAAAGTTCTGAGTGTGGTCAAAAAAAGCTTTTAAAATTGATTAGGAAACAGAAAAAGAATATTAAAAAATAGGTTAGGAAACAGTCTGGTGGGAGTTGAAGGACTTAACTAGAGTCATTTGTCCTCAGTGATCGCTTCTGCATAACCATTTCTCATGGCTCAGTCTCCAGTGAAGAAATGAAGGCATTAACTTTCTGCTGCTGAAATGCCCTTCACTTCCTCTTTACTGACCACTTGTGATAGAAGAAGCACATTGCATGTAAAGTTTTATTGATCAAGTTGTAGTACAGTCTCATAGGTTCAGAACAAGGCATGTAAGGTTGTCCATCTAGATTTCTGAGACAGATTTGTTGATGTGGAGATGAAGCCAAGACAGAAGGCTCCACTGCCCTCTCCTCCCATTCCGTTGGCTTGGGACATGTGGTATGTGTGCCCTCTCGATTTATGGGCTCAGAAATAAATGTCAAGATAGAGTTTCGCCAGAAAGTTTATGGTCTTTTCGGGATATGTATCTGCAATGTGATGGGGAAGGAGGGAGTGGGTGGGTGGAGAAAATGCTCTGAATTCCTGTACCAGGGCAGTCTCTGCTGATTTCACAGGGAGCTGGGTTTTCTTTCAGAATTGTCCCATAGTGAAGCATGGAGACCTGAGCATTGTTCTGTCTCTACAGAAGCCGATCACTGGTCATATACTTTTCCCTGGGAGAGTTTATCATGAAACAACTTAGAGATGAAGGTCACTCAGCTTGAATCAACAGCACCCAAAATTCTTACCAGTTGGGGTCCATGAGTGTTAATATGAGGAGGAAACCTTGGTGGAACACATTAGCGGCATTCAAATTTCCTTACTGCTTATCATGAATTCCCCCTACTGGAATACCTACTATTGAGTTTTAGTTGGTCTTGGACTTCACCTGTGAAGGTTTAATGAGAATACTCTAGCTGTTGCTGCTACGCTGATCTCAGGGCTGGCCAGCTGACTTCAAGGAACATTATTGCCCTTCACCAATCAGCTTGTCACCCTAAACCTGACTAGCCTCTGGGCTGGCCTAGATGGTTTGGTCTGGAGTCCACCAAGCCCCTAACTCAGGTTCTGAGTTCAAGATTCCTGTGCCTACCTCAGGCTATGGCTGCTGTCCTTGTCCATCTGACATTCAACGGTGAGCTTGGGCGCATCAAGAGGTTCTTGGTGCAGCATCTGGCAGAGGGCAGTTAGTTTCTGCTTGTGTTTAATAACAGTGGAAGCGAAGTCCCTCCTGCCAGCCAGAACCAAATGACCCTTGCCAGATTGGTTGCTTTCTTTCCTGCTTGTTTGTGTCTTAGCATGAGGTTTCCAAACTCGTTGTCCGATAGCAGTAGAGTGTCAATGTCTAGAGTGTAAAGGAATCCTGACAGTATCTGATATTTCTCCTTTGCAATGGGCACCTGAGAGTCTAAACTTGTGAAGATGGTAGGCAGAACCATGTCCCACTCTCCCTGGCTACTCTCTAGTTTCCTCCAGATCAACCCTCCCCGCTGTTTTTTTTTTCTTGCATGGTGTTTGCTTAGCTTCAATCATGCTTTAGACATTTCTGAAGTTTCACTTATTTCCTTCTCTTCCATTCCAGCCTTGTTGGATGAATTCACACCTAGATACCTCTCTCCTTTCCCTTCTCCTTGTCATTTATGTGAAACAGGCAGGGCCACAGTTAGCTCAGGATGGGCCTTTGCTTACTTTATCTTCCTGCTCTTACATTAGAGTAGGGATTTGGGTCTCTAGAGAATGGCCGTCAGAGTGCTCTGAAAATATAAAACACTGGCTTAGTTAATATTTGTCAAATAATTACTATTTAGCAAATAAACAGAAAAGTCCCTGTGTAGGGAATCCTCAGTGTGACTTCAGAGACATCTCGTTCTTCTCAATTCCATCATATATGCAGTGAGTGTTGAAGCGTCAAGTCCCTTACACTAAGAAGGGTACATGAGTCTAGGAAGTGTGAGGCAAGGCCTCATTTGCTGTCATCCAGATCTTTGCATGACATGTCACCTTTTAATTCTCATATAGGATCCCAGTTTTTTACTTTAGACAACAGATCTGAAGACTGCTCCTCAGCTTCCCTTCTTTCTTTTCTCCTTTGTTTATTGTCTTGTCTTCTCTCACTAATATGTGAGCCCCAGGAGCTTCATGTTTCATTCGTACCATAGCTTTCTGTCACATAAGTCCTCTTTAAACACTTGCTTAATAGATGAATGAGATTTTCATATGGATAACTCCAACCATTCCTGACTGTTGATAAGCTAGATACTCCACCAGCAGATGGAATAAGACACAACTTGGCTTGGCTAAATAGTGTGATGTGTCACAGACCATTCAGTTTAGTCCTTGCATTTGCAATGTTCCTCATGCCCATAGCTATGTCAGTGTATTGGTTTCTCATGGCCCCAGATCCCGGCTAGCTCCCATCTTGTTGCAATAATTTGAGGACTTACCCAAATGTGGATTCTGTGTGGACCAGTCTTCTCTTCCTATGGAAGCAAATAAAGAATATCAACACAGAAAATTCAATGAATTCCTTTTCATCTCACATTGGCTGGTTCATGGGTTATGCTATCTCTCAGTAGATTGTTGGCTTGTTGGTATAATCATTTATTTTTATCTGTAATATATAAATATTTTAAAAGAAAAATACCACTTGCCACTGAGTAAGCTGTAGATCATGCTTCCTGAGGACCTGGAGAGAAAACAGCTCTGCCGATGGCCATGTGTTTGAGTCCCATGGGTGCTGGAACTTAGTACCTCATTCAGATTAAATGCTATGGGTAGGGTAGTTCCCTGAAACAACCGGAACTTCTAGGATCAAAAGAGTAAATGTCAGCCAAATTGCAGGATGACAGAAATGATGGATATGCATGAGAGACTGTGTTAGACACAATTATCTCATTCAGTCTCTTTATATAACAAAGGAGGAAACCAGTGCTCGCTGATTTAAATAAGCACCAGAGAATAAGCTGATGTAGTTTCTGAATACCGACCTGGTTGACCAAACACTGGGGCTTTCTCACTCAACCAGGCAGTGCCCAGAGTGCCGGAGACTTGGTAGACACTTCAAAAATGCATACTAGTGAGTGAATGCACTAATACCAACTAAAGCTTTTCTCTTCATGTTGGATACTTTCTTTCCACTCTACTCCAGAACTTGAGGCTACTCGTGCCGCTCCCTGACTTTGGTGCTTTCTCATGGATTTGCCATTCTCTCCTCTGTGGTTCATCTGTCACTTGCACACTCAGCTTTTCACCCACCAGACCTTCTGGTCTTCTTCTACACTTTTGTCAACTCTGAATTTGCTCAGAAGCTCATGCGATAACATGTACCTCAGCACTTACTGTGTCCATCATGCATTTACCCATGTCTTTCTAGGAGAGCTGCTTTAACCCAGAGTTCTGCCTCTGAAGGTCATTGCTTCAAGGGCAACAGCAAATAATTGGATGAACTAGATTTCTGGTGGGAAGGAATTTTAATGCCCTTCCAATTAGGCTCTCTGCTGTTTCTTCTAATTATACAGAGTGCTGTAGAGCTGAGAGTGAGACTTATGCACAGTAAGAGTGTGTGTCTGGGAAAGAGAATGGGGAATTTAGGATGTTTCAGCTGTGGTAAAGGGTTAGCTTTATTGTTGCTGTCGCCAAACACCCAACAGGGATAACTTGAGTTTGCACAGTTTCACGGGTTTCTGTCCATCATGGCAAGGGGTGTGTAGCAGGGCACTTCACCCTGTGGTGGATACGAAGTGGAACAAAGCAGTAGCTAGAAGGAGCCTGGGAAGAGCAGGGCTCCCGGGAACATGTCTGGCTAAGCCCATGTCCACAGATCTACCACCTTGCCACCATCTTTCCAAAATTTGAAAAGCATTCACTATGTCACAACCCTCAGGATCTTTTTTTTTCTCTGAAAATAGTCTCACAAATGTACCCAGAAATGTGCCTCGTAATCTGCTCGGTGCCTCTCAATCGGATCAAGCTGACAATCAAGATTGATAATTGTGGGAAGAAGCCATCAGAGGACAAGGACTCAAGTGCTGATGCTGATAACTAGCAAGAAAAGATCTCCTCTGGATAGCTTTCTTGACAAAACATTTAATGCGTAGAATGGAGATTTTGTCTTCCTGTCCGTTAAGAAGAGTGTGTCTCTGCCCCTCTAGGGTTCAGGGATCATTGCAGACGAGGGAAGAGAAGAAAAGCAAGAGCAGGAAGGTAAGGAGGAGGGCTCGAAAACACTGTACTCTGTATATGGAACAATTCATGCAGTCACGATCTCACAGTAGCACTGGGCCTGCGCAAGCGTGGGCCTATGATTGATTAATCATGGATTGAGGAGGAGCTTATGGGGCCCTCCCTCTCCCCGCTGAAATATTGACTACTGATAGATTATGGGGAAAGGGCAGCCATCGTCTTCAGCTGTGAACCCACTGAGGAGTTCATCAGGGCCACACAGATGATCCTGGTTAAATTAGTGGGTCTCAAAACTAAAACAAAACATAGAAAAATTACAGCAACAAGTTGTGATACTGGAAGGGAATTGGGAGTGTGATAATAGGAGTGAGCAGCTCGGTCAGTAGTTACAAGATGTACATCATGTGGATAGCCCCAGGACTGGTTGTATGTACAATGCATCACCTAAGCCACCTGTGAAGTTGAGACCGCCTAGAGGAGAAAGTCAGCTATCTATAAAATAACAGTAATTGTACTCCTGTTGCCTGAGTGCTCACTGTGTAGTTTGTATAATGTTCTCCACCCCCACCACGGTAACACCCTTGCACAGTAGACATTATCAGAGATTCTGGGACCAATACGTGCCAGCGTTGAAACTGGATTCTAGCCCTTTTTGCACTGGAGTTCAAAGGACTGGAGACGGGAAAGCAGAAGGCAGTGAGAGCAATTGCACTGCAATTACTGTGAATCTAATCACCTCTAGAACTTCCTCAAGCTTAAAAACACCTATTATGATACCTAATCTAGGCAGACATCCTGGAGAAAGTGATTTCTTGGAAAATAGTATAAGCAGTGGAGAATGTAAATTTTTGGGGAAATGGATTCGGTCTTGACTTAATTTTGATGTGCTTAGGTAGCAAACAAAAGAAAGCAAAAGCAATGTTCCTTCTTCTCCCTGCAGACTTTTCCTTCCATAAGGAGAAAAATCAAACTATAAGGAAGGAAAAGGGTATCTGTCCATCAGGGTGTCTTTCTGCTGTGCTGAGGCAGGGAAGCCAGCCTCCTTATTTATCCTCTCTCCTCTCAGGCTGGAGCTCAAATGCTGCCTTCTGTGGTTTTCACTTAACAAATGTTAATGAGATGGCATTGTAATCACCGGATTTTATAAATATCTTATCCGCAAATTGGACCACAAAACCCCAATGAGCCAGCTGAGCATATTACATGAGCCGATATTTTCCCCACAGTCTTAACCAAAGGATGTAAAATGTGTTCTTGCTTTGCAGTCCTTTGGGCCCATGGGTGTTAGATGTTGAAGACGACTGCTATCCGCCTGCCCCCAACTCAAGTGGCTTGCTGGGTGTGTGAGGCTTTCACACAGTCCTGGGTGATGTAAGGGATTTAGGCATGATCAATTATACCCTTTTCAAGTTAACACTAGAAAAATGAGAAATTGATTTTTTTTGACGAAACAATATTTTAGAAATTCGGGATATAAAAACGGGATTTGACCTCTCTTATCAAGGCAGCTATCATTGTGATGATTAGAGCCTACAATTATGCCATATTTTGTATGTCACAACCTAAGATGAGCTTGTCAGATTTGTTCAGGGAAGGATGTTCTGTCCTCTGTGTGACATAGCCTCCAGCTGTGGCTGCTCTGTGGGATGGAGGTGCCGGGAATGGAGGATCCATCTTGTTCAGCAAATCTGCTAGGGGGAGAATCCTCAGACAAGGACTTCTAATTCAAACAACCCTGCTTCATCTTATCAGAGATCCAATAGGCAAAAGCAATATTGAAGACCTTTCCTGAACTTTTAGAATTTAAGCTGGCTATTTCTTGATTATAAGCACACTATCATTAAGTGATATCATTCCACAATAAACAGAGAGGAGATTCCCGTTGCCTACCAACTTAACTGATGGATTATACAGCACTTTGAAGATGGAATTGGGCCTTCATCATTTCTGTATTCTCAACAACTCAAACATTTCTTGGGCTTAATTTTTAATAAACTCAGTCTCAGAAAGACAAACATCACATTTTTTCTTTCATTTGTAGGTCCTAGACATTATAGACACATAGAATCCTCTATAGACATCTATGTCCTCTATTGATGAGACAAAAGTAGATGTGAAAGTCTGTGAAGAGCAAAAGGGACCAATGGGAGGGGAAGGAAATGCATGACGGAGCAGCATGCTCACGTACATTATATGTTCACATGAAAGTGACCTTAAGTATCCCTGTATGATAAAAGGCTCACTTTGAAAGTGGGTTTTAATTAGCATTCACTAAAAACTTGTAATATTCTTTTTTTAGCCTTGGAAATATCTGAAGAATATATCATATATATATATATATGTACACACACTCACACACACACATACACACACACATATATATCCACCGTGTGTGTGTGTGTGTGTGTGTGTGTGTGTGTGCCATGTACACGCAGCTGCCCATAACAGTCAGAAGAGGGTGCCTGCCTGATTCTCTAAAACTGTAGAACTGGAGTTACAGACAGTTGTGAGCCACCAAATGTGGATGCTGGAAACCAAACTCAGAGTCCTCTTCAAGAACAGCAAGTGCTCTTAACTGCTGGAGTAATTTTCCAGCCCTGTGTTAGGGTTTTCTATTGTAGCTAACAATACGAAAGGAGTGCTGAGTTGCTAAAATTAGTCAACAACACCTCATTAGATGTGGGAACTTGGATGCTGGAACTAACTCTCTTACTGTTTATTCCAGTACAATTAGCTGTTTTTCTGAATGCTGTTCATCTGTGAGGAAGCAAAACTCATTGTACAACACTGTATTGAAATAACTAACCCATTCTCATTGGAGCTACATTAATCCCTCTATGAACTACCCTACATTTCTCCAAACCACCACATTAAGAATTAGACATGAGCATGGGCTTGGGCATGATTATGTTGTATCTAGGTCATAGAAACCAAAATCAAAACAATGAATTATTGATTTTCTCTAAAAATTTCTTTCTGTCCTTGTCCTATTTCTTTCCTATGAACTCTTCACTTCCCATGAAATCAATGTTCTGCTATCAATTCACCACAATTTCAATTTTCAAAAATATTGCCATCAAAAAGCAGATGAAACTCATTATTATATATAATTAATATTCACTAATAACAACATTAAGTTTTTTGGAGACAAAATTTCATTGTGTAGTTCTGTTATGGACCTTGCTGCACAGACTAGGCTGATCTTGAACTCAAGTGATCTGACGGGCCCTGCCTCCTAAGTGTTGGGAGTAAAGGTATTTACCACCACATCTGGCATTAGCATTTAAAAATATTACAGTACTTATTCTTTTAGATTTGCCTTCATTTACTCAGTACTATTTTCAGATTCATTAGTTTTCTTGAGTATGTCAATAATCAAATAGTTCATCCCTTTTTATTGTTGAATAATATTTTATTGTATAGCTAGTTTGTTTTGTTTTTTGTTTGTGTTGTTTGGTGTATGTGTGTGTGTGTGTGTGTGTATATGTGTGTGTATGTGTGTGTAGGGGGTTCTGGGAATTGAACTCAAGATGTCATACATACTAGGCAAGTGCCTTGCTATTGAGCTACATCCCCAGCATTATACCAGAGATTTTGGGGGGGGGTTGCTAAAAATGAAGCTGCTGTAAGCTTTGAATACAAGACTTTCTGTGGCATATTCTTTATCTTCTTGAGTAGATGCCAGGGGAGGTATGCACTTATCTTTTTAAAAAAACTGTGCAACAGCTAGATAGTTGTGATAAATTACCCTAGTAATCCCTGCACTAAGGAGGAATGATCACCATGAGTTTGAGCCAAGATAACAATGTTGATCATCTTTTAACATTCCTATTCACAGTCTATATATCTTCTACGATAAAGAATCTGTTCAAATCTAATGCCACACGTGTTCAGACTTGACCAAGTATCTTAAGGGCCTTTGCTATAAGTTTGGTCTACACCCACTTTTTGTAGTACACTTTTTCTAGTGGGCCCCACTGAGGCCAGGAAGGCCAGCAACCCTGTTAGTCTGTTAAAGTTTCTAGGACCTAGAACCACAGCTGAGGGGCATAAGCAACATAAACTTATTGTCTCTTAGTTTTAGATGCTGGAAGTCTAAGACAATGATGTCATCAGAATTGGTTCCTTCTAAGGCAGGGAGAACTCATGTTCTAGGCCCTTTCTTTAGGTTCTGGTTGTTTGCTGGCAATTTTTGATGTTCAATGGCTTATGGAAGTTATCACCTATTTCTTGGTCATCTTCACAAGTCCTATGTTTTCTATATCCCAGTTACCTATTTTTTAAAAAATGAAACGTAAGTGTGCTGAATTAGAGGAACACATTACTCTAATATAACCTCAATGAATTATATTTACTATGACTTTATTCCCAAGGTCACATTATTAGATGCACAGGGAAACAAAATTCAATTCTTACATTCAAGACCAAGAGTGGAAGGGCTAAGAAAAAAAATCCCCCAAATTACTTGCCCAAGTATAAAGCTGGAAAGCTGGGCCTCTCTCTCTCTCTCTCTCTCTCTCTCTCTCTCTCTCTCTCTCTCTCTCTCTCTCTCTGTGTGTGTATGAGAGAGAGAGAGAGAGAGAGAGAGAGAGAGAGAGAGAGAGAGAGAGAGAGAGAGAGAGTGGCAGAGGATAAATGACTCGAGAGAAGTCCAACTAGGGCACCCTGGTCCACACTACAGTGTCTTATTGAAGTTTGGGGGTGGGTTGGGTGGGCAGAGAAGAGGAAGATTACTGCTTCTTATCAGGTGAGATCTGATAAAGAAGGGCAGCAAAGGGGGCACTTAGGATCTTCACAATGACCTTCTGAAGGTTGGAAGAAGGAGAGAGAAGGGGGAGAAGAGAAGAGGATGAGGGGAGAGGATTGGAGATGATAGGAGAGGAGGGGAAGAAGGAAGGAGCGAGAAGGGGAGAAGAGGGGCATGGAAGAGAGGAGATGGAGAGAAATAGGCAGAGAGATTTCAATATACATAAAGGTAAGGTAAGACCTGGAAATCAGAGTTGTTCTCACTTCACCATCTGGTAGCTGAGCTGTAAAACAGTTACAGAAAAGTAACTAAGACATCTGGCATACACAAATATTATAAATGTCAACTAGAAAGATTCTCTCTGTGGTAAAGAGAGATGAGTCATAGAGAATGACCAGAGTTAGGGTTATGGGCAGGGTCTTTAACATCAAATTCACAACCCGAAAGCTGAAATCTATAAATGTTTGCTGCTGTGCATCTGCCTTTCTCCATTTATACAGTCAAGGATCCCAGGCAGGGAATGGCACCATCCACAGTGAACAGGCATGTCCAAAGGTCCAGCTACTTCAAGATCCTGCAGCCTTGAGTTCCCTGTTGGAAGGGAATGAGTTTTTGAACTGTGGACTAGAATAAACCCCTTCTCTTTTAAGTTGTTTTTGTCAGAGTATTTATTATATGTACAGGAAAGGAATGAGGCAAGTGTCATCATCTTCCTATTAAGATGAAAAGAAATGACTTGTCCAGATGACAATAAGTAAGGTGATCATAGCATTGCATGTCATCTGAATCATGCCATTTTAGAGAGTTCAAGGAATAATTACACCAGGAGAAGTGCCGTAAAGCTCCCCCAGCCCTGGGCAAGTGGAAATGAACAGCTGACCTATCAATGGGAGCCTGAACAAGATCCATTGCCTGTGTGGTGCTCCAGCAGTGCTTCTAGAAGCCGGGTGTTCTGAGTATCTCTAGGATTCTGTCTGCTATGATGCCTTGCTACGACCTGTCATCACAGCTGCTTGCAAGCTAGCGAGAGAGTATAAAAGCCTGCATCAGTCAACGGGTTGCTGTTTCCCACACTGGCCAAATAATTCACACTTTCTAATATTGACATTTCTAGGTTAAAAACTATTGTGATGAAGCTAATTTTTCGACAGGATGAAAAATGGATTCTGCTTTCTGTTGCCCTGATAATATGGAAATAATGGGTCTACTTTGCAAAAGTCACTTCTCCCCAAATGTTGAAGACAATTATCCTGTGTTTATGAGTCACAGAGTCAGTAAACTGTCAGAATTACCTTGTCGTTGCCAAAGCTTTAAAGGAATGGTACAGGTCATAAGTGACAAGACTCTGGCCGTTGTAAAATATTAGGACATAAAGTTCATGAAGTCCACATTAATAAAATAGGCAGATGCTGGAATTTAGTCCTGGAGAATATCCAATGAGTAATATGCACCAGAATATAAAAGCAAACAGAGGTGAGAACAGCAGAGAGTACTAGGAAGACTACTGGGAAATGCTACCTAGGCTTGAGGTTACAGGAGGAAAGTGAGATTTAGAAGAAACAGGTACCCTACTCATAGAATGACAGACTAATACAACCCAGCATCTTTGATGGTCAGAGCAGGAGCTAGATTTCCACTTTAACGAAGTGTGTGTGTGTGTGTTTATTTTGTGTGCAGTTCTTAAGTTGACATTGGGAGACTTTCTTAAATGTCCTCTACCCCATTCAATGAGGAAGGGTCCCTCAAGGGAGCCTAGAGCTGGAAAATGGGATTGTTAGTCTAGCTAGCCAGCTAGCTCTAAGGATCTCCAGTCTCTGCAGTGGAATTACAGGTAGGGCCACAATACTCATCCAGCATTTATATAGGCTCTGGGGGAATTGAACTCTGGTCCTTATGCTTGAATATAGGCACATTGTTCACTGAGCCATCTTCCTAGTCCCAGACTGCCACCTTCTGTATTTCCAAATAGAACTTCTATGTCCTTCAGCAGCAAGTACTTGGAGGATCTATCCTATGTTAAGAACCAGGGTAAGAATAGAGGAGAGAACGATGAGAGATACCATAATAGAGGGAGCCATTATAGGTTGGAGGAGAGATCTGGCTCTAGTGAGATTTTCAGAGATCTACAAGAATGACACCAACTGGCATTAAGACTACCTTAAATGCCCTCCCCTGATAATGAGATTGATGATTATATGCCATCCTAGAACCCTCATCCAGTGGCTGATGGAAGCAGAAGCAGACACCCACAGCTAAAAACCGAACTGAACTCCTGGAACCCAGTTGCCAAGAGGAGTGATGAGCAAAAGAATCAAGAACCAGCTTGTGAAATCCACAGAGGCAGCTGACCTAAACAAGGGGGGAATGCATGGACCTCAGACTGATGACTGAGAGGCCAGCATGGGAGTGATCCAGGATGTCCCCTCCCCAACCTGAGTGTCAGAGAGGAGGCCTCGGCAATCTATGGGACCTTGGAGAGTAGATCAGTGTTTATTCCTGGCATACAGAGGGACTCTGGGAGCCCATTCCACATGGGGGGATGCTCTCTCAGTCTGGACACAAGGGGGAAGACATAGGCCCTGCCTGGGATGATAGGACAGACTCTGAAAATTCCTCATGGAAGGCCTTACCCTCCCTGGGGAGTGGAGGGAGGATGGAGTGGGGTGGGAGGGTGAGGGGATTTGGGGGGGCCAGGGGAGGAGGGGAGGGAGAGGGAACTGGGAGAAATATGTGCAAAAAGGAAAATTAAAAAATTATTATTAAAAAAAAGAACCAGGAGAGATGATTGTGGTACTAGACCCACCCTGAAAAGGCAAGATTTATTTGGCCAACATCCCAGGATCACACTGATAAAATTCATCCACTTACCTACCACTTTATAGGGTGTTTTGGGAGGACAGAATGAGTAATGTGTTTAAATCCTACAACACGATCCTTAGTACATAATTTTATCACTAGGAAGTTAGTTTAAGGTTCTGCCCACGAGCACTGTGGTATGATGTAAAGCCATTCTCAAAGACATTATATTCCTCACCACCACCTGTTCTACAGAGAAGACCCAGGGTTAGTCCCAATGACCACATTGGCTAAGTTGTGTTTTAAATCTGCTTTGCTTTATTTTTTTCTTTTTGTTCTAGTGTTTAGTGGAATCCATTGTTGCTGCTACTGTGATATCAACGCATTAATTACAAATTACAGCACAATGGAGGTTATTTCAACTCTGAGCTGCTGCCTTTTTATCTCGAGTCAGAGAGTAAGAGGTGTCTGGACCCTGAATACAACACAGGGGTGACCTCAGAAATGCCTGGCAGGCCACAGTAGTAGGAGGCGGAGGAGGCTGTGCCCTCAGGGACACAGGAGGAAGGCTGTCTTTGCTCATGATGCCCTGTGTTGTTTTCAGCAAATGTGGGCTAGGATCCAGAGACAGGGAATCCAGATTTCATCCATTCCTCTGCCGTTTACACACAGTGTGATTTAAGAGAAGCAAATCTATTCCTATGTGCTGCTGAAGTTCTTTTCTTCGAAAGCATTTAAGTGTGCGGATGTTTTGCATCATGTATGTGTGTACCGTATGTGTGCTGGTGCCTGAGCATGCCAGAAGAGGGCGCCAGATCTGTTAGAACTGGAGTGATAAGATGGTTGTGAATTGCTCTGTGGGTGTTGGGAATGGAGTCTGGGTCCATGCTCTTAATCACTGAACCATCTCTCTGGCCCCTAGAGATTATTTTTCATGCTGTTAGCCCCTGGCTTTCTATCTGGGAAGTGTGAGCACCTCAGGGCACACAAGTGGCCAGGCCCCTCCCCTGAGGACCTCCAACCTCCAGATTTCTTCCCCCCACAGAGCACTCTAATTGCCTTAATGGCTGGCTGGCTGGACCCAGTCTCCTTCCTCAACAGTAAAAAGCCCAAACTCAGGATTTGAAAATCCTACCTGTCCCTGGGCTCACCCCAAGCTCTGGATTTGAAATCCTACAAATCCTCACTTTTGGAATACCCCCCACTGAAATCCTATATTAACCCTGTCTTCTGCCCAGTTCTCTGCTGCTTCTCATCCAAGCAGAGGCCTCCACCCTCTTGGATTCTTTCCTCCCAATGAATCTCTTGTGTGAGCTTTGTTGTGTGGTGTGAGTTTATGGTATTCCTTGGCTCTCAACAGCCAAGATAGCTTCCCCTACAGCTGTAACACTTGCAGGAAGCAATACTCTTGGTGCCTGTTCACATAGAGAGTGCTCTCTTGCCATCCAGTTTCTCTTTTCCTCTTCCTCATCTTATTTTTTGTGGCAGGGTATCTCTATTATGTAGTTGTGGCTGTCTTGGAGACTGCTATATAGACCAGGCTGGCTTTGAACTCACAGAGATCCACCTATCTCTGCTTTCCCAGTGCTGAGATTAAAGACATGCTCTACCATGCTTGGCTGTTTCCAATGGAAGAAAGAAAGTATGAATGTCCATTTTCTTCTCCCCTCCCTGACCAGAACCAGATGTCAAAGTGCCAATTACTTGTGACTTAGGGAATTGCTGATTCCTGCTTTTCAGGCTCTTCACATGGGCCCCTATGGAGTGTTAACAACGATCCTTTGAGTAGAGAAAGCCATCCAACCTTCATGGACAATTCTCTGTGAAGACTGATAGTCGCATGTATAGCTACAAAATAGTATCAGCTGATAGGCTTTTTATCTTCTTAGCTCTGAATGCTTAATATTCTGACTAAAGGATGAAGGTCTCTCACTCTGGATCCCAGTCAGCTTGCAAATGAGACTGAGACCTACTTGAGAGCTTGAGGAAATTTTTATCAAGCTTTTAATTACACTCTAAATGTAGCAATCAGCCTTACTGGGGAAAACTATAGAGAAAATGATGATGATGACAAACTTTTCTTCTAGATGGTAAAAATAAATTCCATTGGTGAAAATTCAGAAAAATCACAGAATGATGTCAAATTCTAACGTAAATCTATAACCATTGTTAACACGTTAGTATCTGACCTTTGGGATAAAAAGAGTGTCTAATACAATAAACCACTATCTCTACAATGCTCTACAATGTAGCTTCACTATGAAATGACTGCTTCACACTAAAGTTCTTTAGAGGACTTTGCTTTTGAGGATGAACAATGAGAACCACAACTGAATGCTCTGGCTGGGCTTAGAGAAAGCCAATCAATGAAAAGTAAATTCTCTTAACTATGTCAGTAGTGCAAAGACCACGTTTTTGAGACACACCCTCTATCTTCCCAGCTCTGGATGTATACGAAACACTTTCTGCTAAAATAAAGGATGCTATCCAGGAATAGCTACTGCAGGGACCTTAAGAAGGGACTCAGGACCTTAGAAAGAGACACAGGTTAAGTCTGAGCAACTGTGCAATTAGCAAACCCTGCCTGCTCTTGTTGGGTCAGAGCAAAGAGCACAGGATGTGGTTCTTATCCTTAAGGAATCAGTATCCATTGAGTTGCAAAATCCAGAGCAGAAACACAAAGCAAGATGAGCCAAAAGACACGAAGTAGGAAATGTAAAGAATACACTCAGGGCAAGAACTTTTAGTTCAGAACAAACAGTTCCTTATCCGGGTGGGGAAATACACATGGAGAATGTAGGTTTATTTGGGGCCAGGAAAGGTCTATAACTAGACACTAAAATGTAAATTGGAACACTTTCTGGATGGATGGTGTCTTGTGGTTGAATTTTTATTTCTGAGAATTTGAAGTCTAAGGAATTACATTAATCTAGATAACCTGGCCATGCCTTGATCATAAATGAAAACCAAGTGTCAGTGACTTTTAATAACAGAAGTAGATGTGGTCCACTCAGGGATGCCTGGGAGTGAAAAGTCACAACTATGGTTACTGAAGATGTCATTTTTCTGTAACATCGTCAAGAATATACTGAAGTGTTCTGCCTTCTTTGTAGGAAGTTTTCCCTTAGCCATGGGTACTTGGTTTATTTATCTTTTCTTCCTGTCCAACTATGACCTCCCATTTACCTCTTGGGCTTCCCACTACAAGGATGCCAGATTTCTCAGTCAGATAGTCTGATAGCAGAATGCCTTCTTTAGGTGGGCTGGGTGAGTCGTTTCAGGGGCTTTGTTTTGCTTTGGAGGGGTTCACTAGGCCAGAACTTCATGCATATGGATGAAGAAGTCTGGTTACAAAAATAACGTGGAGAAGCTGGAATTACTTTACCTTACACATGGGCAGAGAAGTTGATACAACCCTGAGAACTGACCAGGGCAAGGACTCGGCTGAATACACAGGAAAGGTATATGTCAACAGAAGAATGAAAATAAGGGGGTCTTTCTCTGAAACATAGGGATAGACAGTGTCCCACTAGGCTTAGAAAAATGGCAGTTTTGAATTGCTGTAACAAAGTACCACAGATTAGGTAGTTTATGAACAACAGAAATTTTGGTGACTGGGAAGTCCAAGATGGGTGCTGGCAGGTTTAGTGTCTAGAGAGAGAACCCACCTATTGGTTTGCATGCGGTCCACTTCAGTTGTGTCCTCATGTGGAAGAAAGGGACTGTTCTTAGGGACCACCTTCAGCAACCCCTGTCATGGCTTTGAACTGATGATCTGATCACTTCTCAATGGCCCCATCTTCTAATCTCACTGGAGATTAGTTTCCAACACAGGATTTTGAAGGAATGCAAACATTCAGAATACTGTAGATCAACCAGAAGGGTTATCAGAGAATGAACTCCACCTGTAAGATGGAAAGAGTCTAGGTACCCACCAGAAAGGACCTAGAAAATGACAAAGATGGGATGAATGATAAAGTCTTTTTGTCCCTTGTCCCTAGTTGATGGTTTAATGTGTCTCTATATAGTATCCAGAATAATCCAACCTCCTTTCCTCTATACCAAAGGCTCTCTGAACTTACCTCTTCTACCATCTCTTCATTTGTTTGCTGGTTCTGTCATGTGGAAAATCTCCTGTCTCAGGAGAAAGGAAGAGCAACTAGCTCTCTGGACATCCAGGGTGGACAGGCACGTGATGTGATGTGTGTCCCATCTGCTTACCCCTCACTACTTGCATGAAAGGTAGATCATTTTCTCACATGGAACCTCACATTACACAGTCATTCTGGTCTGGACACACTTGAATAGAGAAAACTTTCTTACAGACATTCCGTTTTGAAGGACTTGGTACTTCCAAAGGAAGGCAGCAAGTTTTGTGCTCTATTTCCTATAGAACTCTAGTTTTTCTCCTCTATAAGTCACTCAATCGGCCTGTTATTGGCTACACATCGTTGATTTCACTGTAGCT